AAACCCTGGTGGTCACATTTCTGGAATGAAAAATATCAGAAATATCATTAAAAATTGTTTGCTTCAGTCCAAGTTTTGCGTTCTCTTGTTACTAAGTTTTTAGTATTCATTCCAAAGTTCAAAGGGACATTTTAACCGCAGAATAATCTGAAAACGTTTGTATATGAAAACATAATTAAGCAAATGTAATTATTTTTACATAGTAGCTAACCTACACTTCTGAAGCAACAAAGAATCAAGGACAAATTTATAGTTTTATTAACACTTATCAAAAAGTTTGCTTACACTAGCGAGAATTATAAGAAATAATATTTAGACGCAACACGTTACTGAAAACGAGGTCGGTATTCAGGTCGCAAAATGATACAGGTCCGCTAGACTGCGAGGCTCCTCATCAAGTCTACTTTCAGATGAATGAAGCACAAAAACATCAAAGTAATTAAAGATACGTGGGCAACCATGTGTGGTACACAGAAATTAGCGAACTAATTTCTATTTCAAGTTTACTAACGAAACATCTTGCCCGTCCTGCAAAATTTTAAGTATAATTTTATATACACTTAATATCCCTAACTACTTGAATTTTTTTAGGCGTATGTTATTTCTCCGACACCACACTTCCTTTGTTTTTTTTAACACCACCTGACACTAAAGATTTCAAAAATACCCGGGATAAAAAGCAAAATTATGAAGCTCAAGCTTTAAATATTCCTACAAAACAGAACGGTTACGCCTTAAGTAACTAAAAATCAAAAAATGTAAAAGCACTCAAATACTAAAGTAACTTAGACGCAGACAAGAGCAAAAAAACAGTACATGGGAAAATAGGACAGCCATAAAGATATGCTATACTACAGTTGTTCTGCGATACAGCAGAATACAGTGGACGTGGAGAAGAGGGGGCGGTGTGAGGTCAGACGTCTTGCGCGGAGGAATGTTCGGCGCCTAAGGCGTAGAATTAAATTCCTGGCCCCCCTGTCGAGCCCCCGCCGGGCTGCTTCATTCATTCAGAACACCGGACCTCCTACTAGGATATCACTACATATGAATCTTTAGTTACTTACACTGCTACCGACATCTAGTGATGAAAAACTTATATGCGACCTACTCAAATAATATAGGAATCTTCTCATTTTCTCTTGTTCAAAACATGTTTGAAAAAAGCTACCTGTAGCAATGATTAAAATGGGGATGCAACATTGGAAATAACCGTAATACACGATCGGTGTAATGCATTGCAGTAAGTCTAATTTACTTACTTAAACTAAAAACTAAAATTGATTACTTTCATGTCTCTTTGTCACCATACTATGACGAATTAAAAGATGGAGTATTTTAAACTATTTTAAAAATTAAAATTTACAACAAAAGCAAGTCTCTTTATTTATAGAAATAACCTCTATAAAGTGTGTCATGGAGATAAATTAATAATTATTTAACCACTCCGCTGCTAGAAAAAGCGGTTTCATCTGGTTCTTAATGCAAGGACTTTAAAGGGATGATTATTTCACGTATTTAATAATCTTGCAATAAAACATAAACCACAGATACTTTTTCCATTAATAAGTTTCTCAAAAACCAATAATAAATAAACGCAATAATATACAACTTATAAAAAGACATAACAGATTGTAACATAATTGTACTACAAATATAATGCCTGTACTGTATTAAAGACATAAAACTGCAGTGATTTACAACTTTATACAGGTTTCTTCACAATTTGTTAATATTTTCTTCTTTAATTAAATTATATACCGATTTTCGGTACTAACGGATTTTTTGTATTTGACAGAAAACGTTTATAAGGATAATTACGTGGATAACGAACAACGTAAAAAAAATCTACGAAGAAGGGCTGAAAAATACATTCACAATGTCACTCTGATATCCTACACATTCCAATACATACAAAATAAGTTGATTTTTATACGTTCACGCATATTTCACATTCACAGACTTATGCACTTACTCTTACCTAAATTGTTGTGACTTTTATAAACTACTCCTAATTGTCTTAATTTAACAGCAATGTGTTTCTGACATTATTAGTACGTAAGGCAAATCTTATTATCCAAAGTTGCTTAATTTAATAAGAAAAAATCATTAACTGAAATTCACTGCTTTTCTATATATATAACATACTATAGTAACATATACGTATTAGAAAAAAAAAAACATTAACCCGCTGTAGTACCCATATAAATACTTCCAACACATTATTATTGTCTTGGATGCATTATTTTATGAATAACCAAACTATCGGTTACAAACTCGATGGAAAATAGCTTTGTTTTAATTTTTGTATGACAAAGAGGTTCAAATAATAAGATTTGTTAGACTGGAAAATACGTATGAATACAAACTTGCTAATAATGCTAATAGATGTATCAGCTTGATTGAATACATAACTACTAAATAAAAACAACAACCGTAACAAATAATAACGAATCAGACCTTGGGATTAGTGCATAGAACATTACTGACTTGACTTTATTTGACACTGAGTTTATTTATGATAGAAAATAACTTTTTAATTGTTTAATGTGAAGTTTTCCTTAGATGTTGCAACTTGCAATCAAAACTAAAAAAATGTACTATAAATAATCCATTTTAAAATTAAGGATATTTAGCATCCTTTCAAATAAATAAATATTTTTGCCAAAAAAATTAAAAATATGTCTTGCTAAATAAATTAAAAAAACCAGGAACATTATTTTCTAATCAATAGTAAATACAATACAATACAACAGTGAGTGGTGTGCCGTTTTAAAATTAATAGCATTATATGAGAAGCTTTTTGTTTATTTATGATCTTTTGAATTCCATGAATCACTGAACAGAGAAATAATAGTTGACCAAAAATGTAAAAATATCCTGCATAAATATACAAGCCAAAGTTCTACTTGAGGACTATACTCTAAAATTATTTTTAACTGTATAGAGTGTTCTGTTTATAGGTGTAACACACAACTTAGTTTTTTAAATGAAAAATCCTATATATTTTTATATAGTTTGATTCACCTCTTCTTGGGCTTTACAACCACAGTTTATTTCTGAATTTCTGATGCAACGTTATTCCAATTTTTTTGAATGTTTTTAGCAATGGATAGGTTTACAAAAAAAAAATGTAGTAGGGTTATTTATGGAATCTGTTACAATATTTTGTGCAGCATTAAATAAAGGTACGCGCTTTGTTGTGGTATAATATAATATATATAACAATATAAATGCAATTAAATTGTCATATACAGAGTGTTTATCTATTTCTTTTAAATATAACAATTTTCAAATGTCGATATTTCAGTTTTTCAAATAGAACGCCCTATATATTATTACCGCAACTTATTGAATTTTTTGTTCTCTTTCTTTTTTGTTAAGTATTTTGTACAATAAAAGTTGATAGTTCCCGCGATATTTAACAGACACATCGACATATTAGAAGAACGAGAACAAAAATAGGATAATATACAGTAATAAAATACAGTTGAAAAAACTGAAATATCAATACTTGGAACTTGTAAATTTTTTGAGTATTTTTTATAAACATTCTGCATATTAAATTTTGATTAATTTTTTTAAGTTTCCACAAAATATAGTAACACAAATTTAAATAATAACCCTACTGGGATTATTTTTGTGAACCCTTCCCTTGGCCAAAAATTTCAAAACTAAACAGTAATTATAAATCCTGGAAAGAGATCGAGGAGAATAGTAATAATATATAGGGTGTTTCTTTTAAAAAAACTAAGTTGTGTGTTACGTCTTAAAAACAAAACACTCTGCTTTGTTACAAATAATTTTAGAGTATAGTTCTCAAAGAACCGTGCAACTTTGGTACTTGCCTTTTTTTTCTAATTCTAATAATAATTAATGAGATTCCGAGGACTGCGCGCTGAGTTATTCATCTTGTATATCCAATATAAATATAATAAGTGTATTTAAAGTACCCCTTCAGAACACCTTTTACAATAACTCGTTAATAAAAAAAAAAACAAAAATGCATATCAATTAGTTATGTACATCCCAATATGGCATTTTGTATAGTATGTTTTTGTGGTTAATTAAAAAAAAACTGAATAACAATGAAACATATTTTAAACAATTTTTTGGCAACGATTACATTATTAAATCATGTAATGGCACCCAACTTGACAAAGACAATACTGAAACGTTCTGCTTGAAAAATAAAAGTTAAACTGAACAATGTAAAAGTAAGTACGTAGATAGATAGTAAGTACATACATGCACTTAGGAAGAAAAATAAAACTAACCATTAAGATTCGTGTTAGTATAAATCCAATTAACAAAGTTTAGTTAATTCCTTTCAAGAAGTAGACGCACACAACGGTTTTACACGAAACAACAAACAAATAACATATTTCTTGACGGCACATGCATGGCAAAATTTGACTGTGGTATCATTTTGTAGTGAATACTATACACATATCTCAAATGCCAAAGGCTATATTCTTGAAGTGTGGTGTTAACTATCTTTTTTTTTTAACAAGTTCTGTCTTAAAAGAATGTCGTAAGAGAAAAATATAAAAGCTTTAGGACGACAGTATCACAATTATAATTGTTGGGGATTTTGAACCACAATTATTCACTGAGGTACTACTAATGTAAGTTTAATTAATCTTATTTCCTTTCTAGGAAATATTTTGTTTTTAAATTCCTCTTAAAGTATAAATTATTTAAATTATAAAGCTGATTTTAAAGTTTGCATGCATAATAAAAATAACGAGAAAATGTCTTCTTCAAATTTTATGCCTGGAGGTATTATTTGTTGACGCATTTGTGATTAAAATTCTGCATTTTAATTAAGTGACTGACCTCAAATTAATTTATTTATCTGAAAATAAGTTTGTAAAATTTACTCCTAGGGAAATTTACAAATTAAATTTTCGTATCAATAAACAGTAAGTTAATCTATATGTTAACCTTTTCTTTTTAATGATACATTAACCAACTAAATTAATTAAAAATATTACACTTACCGAGCACTTTCAAAAGTGGCTGAAGTTGAGCTACCAATAGCGCCAAAACCAACACCTACAGCTAAACCTTCAGGAACATTATGGACTGTGATTGCTATTACTAAAAGTATTATTCGTTTCCACTGTCCATGTTGGATTTCTTCAATGTTGGAAACATCTTCATAACTCTGTGTATGAACTATTTCTTCACTCTGTCCTTTCATTTTATCAGATCTACCTACTGCAAAATTTTAAATTAACATTTGGAACAATTTTAATATTTATTTTTGTACAACTTTTATTGGTACTTTTTTCTTTAGCAGTTTTCTTAATAATGATCTATTTTTAGTTTTGTCCATAGCAATGTTAAAACAAACTGGTCTAAAGTTATTCAAATAAAACTTCCCTCATCCTGGTAATACAAACATTTTTTCATGTGTATTAAAGTTAATTCTTCAATAAAGATTCATTTGTTAATTTTTCGTGCGGACAAACATATTATTTTAATATGAATAATGGAAATACTGACGTTACTCTGCTCTACAAATTTCGGGGAAATTAAGTATATGAATGAATTTTAGATGGAGTCTACTCATTCTAAGAAAACTAAACACATTCAAACCGGTTCGTTCATACATGTATTATTTTTGTACATCCTTTGCGAGCAGTCGTAGAAACTACATCGTTAAATCGTTAAATCGTTTAATTACGAATATAATGATATGTAACACTTATCAAATATTTATTTCATTTTCAGTTGATAAAAAAAACTATAAACATTAAAAAATAAAAGTTGAGTGAAATAAAGCACTTGCAATTTATTTTGTGGGCCTCTATCATTTTTCTTAGCTGTTTACAATGCTGGTTGGAAAACCCCATTTTGAATGACTAGACTTTCAACGTGAAACTTAGAACGACTATTTAAATGTTGCTTATTAATGTGCGCTCTCACTCCCGATGAGAGCGAATTCATGACCACAGATGAGATTGCTTGCTGATTACAAGTCATAGGAAATATTAATAATTACGGTTTAGTTTTTACTTTCTTATTTATAAAATGCCTATGAATTAAAAAAAGGCCAAAAACTTACGGCACCACGAAATTAGATGACTTTTCAATTAAATTCCAAAGCTACCTAAGTACTCATAAATTTTCTTATTACACAGGATATACGTCACAAATGTTAGGAGCAAATTATTATAATTACATATTGTCTTTGCCATTTCTATTGATACACCACCTGTTGATTTTGCTTAAAATTTAGCAATTGGTAATAGCTTTCGGTTGATTGACAACAGCTTTCCGTTAGAAAATTATCTGAATATGAACGTTGCCAAATTTACGATTACCAAGTGGTGTTTCAATAGAAATGGCAAAGACTATAGTCGGCCCCGTTCGGGCTCGTCTTTCAACACTTTCCTCGCATTTCCAAAAGTTTATTTTCCAGATTAGTAAAACAGATACCTAATATAAGATCTGTTTCAAAAATACTTATTTTAGCATATGTTCGAACTATCGCAACATAGTGGTGTAATGTACTAAATTAAGCTAAAAACAATAGGCTGCGGAATTTTAACTGAGGTACCCTGTGTAGTACGGTTTTTTTTGCACATCCGGTGTAGGTATGTAAAAAATAGTTTATAGTTATTTGGACAGAACTTTCTTTAATTTTAGGAGAACGCCGAGATATTTAAAGAAAATATATGGGTGAATTAATGGTTATACATATTATTTTGCATACTTCAATTATTATACACTCAGAAAATTTTTGAAGTGACCTTTGGTGGGGATGGATACAGAACTTTTGATTAGCAAAGTATCAGGCTGATGATCATCTCACAATATATCTAGATTTCACAACAATTGGTTTAACAGTTTCTAAGAAATATTGCATGTATGTAATTATGTACGTATTTTATTAACGGAAAATTCTATAGTCACAAAATATACCGACATATTAAAATTTAGAATTTACATATTTTGAATCGATTTAGTAGAACTTTTAAACTTATTGATTGATACATTGGAGAATTCTTTGTTTGCACAGTATTTGATGGAAATTTTTATTAGTCGAGTCGTAATTCGTTCATACGATTTTTAATGTTTTTCCAAAAATTTGCACAGTTTAAAAATATGGGTGCATTGACACGCCACAAGTGTAGATGTCTAATATTTTGCACATTTTAGATAGGATTTATCTTGCAAAATTTTGAGATTACGTTATCAACTTGTTCGTGGGAATGAACAAACGAGCCTTGGTTAGCGTTCAATCATGTACACGATAGTCTTAAAGTACTCCTAAAATTCCACAACAATCGGTAAAGTACTTTCGGAGATTACGTGTCGCCAACAGATAGATCGACGATAGAAGCCTAACATGCCAATTCCATAACTTAAACTCGGGAAGGAAAAATGAAAGCAACTAGCATAATAAACAATTTTGTATCTCGCAGTACGGTTTTTTAAATAATTTTCTGAGATGACATCATCAATTTTCTGAAAGGGATGATTACATAAATTTTGGTTATCGTTCTGTTATCCGTAGGACCATGTTAATAAATTGTGTTCTGTTCGGAATTATCTTTTTATGCCAATCTATGTAAAGTTAGAAATAATGGTGGGCTGACAACTTACACGTATCGGTTATAATGGACGTAAAATTTTAAAGTAATCGGTTCCGCAGTTTAGGAAACTAGTTGTTGAATAAAATCGCCAACAGGTAGAGGTAAATAGAAAACATGCAGTTTCGTACTTTCCAAACTGTGAAACCCCCACAAAACATAACATTCATCATTCATCACAATATGGCTCTTAGACTTTGATCAGGAATAACAAATATTTACGTGCGACTAATGAATAAGTTGCAAAGATTATTGTTGGTGTAATTACTCACAAGAATTTGGTAAATTGAATTATAACGATTTACTAATAATGATAATTGTGGGTAAAACCAAATAAACAAAACTATTTTTCCACCTCTAGTTCTTTCCACAGTGTGTATTCTACACCCTACATTTATGACTACAAATTTAAAACTCTCTTTGCTATGGACCACATTAAAAAAGTCAACATTATGTTTTGATAATGTAAGCAAAATAATATGTAAAAGCTAAGTACCTGACAGCTGTACAAAAATATTTTTCTGTAAGAAAAACAAATACATACCCCTTCTGCGTTGATGGACTGTGCCTCCTAATTCAGAAAAACCATCAATGGCAGTTGAATCTGTTGAAGATATATGGGAATTTGGTCTAGTAAGGTCCCTTCTCTCCTTACGACTACTTGTGGAATGGAGTGCTGTAAATTCATTTTTATCGGAACAGCTTTACATATTAGAAAAATACACCACCTAGCATCATGTTTGGAGAATGAACACCAAGTATTGATATTAATACATCAGCACCATAGACAAATAAGGCTCCCAACAAGAAGCCTAATGCAACCGGAGCAAAGGCATATTCGCCATTCTCTCCATATATTTTGGACTGTTCAGCCATTTCGATGGCAGGAGACAAAAGTGACCAGTAAGAAGCTGCTGTCATAACACCAGCGGCAAATCCCAAGCTGGCATCCAGAAGTTTCCTCTAAAAATTTGAACGTGTCGATTGTTTATATGCGAGAAAGGTTATGTTCTAACCTGTGAGCCTCTGATAATCACAACAAGTGCAGCGCCAGCTGCAGTAAGGCCCCATGTGAATAATGTGCCTAAAAAAGCTTGCATAACCGGTCCATGGCCCTGAATCATTTTGATAATTTTACAACAAACACGATAACTAGCATTCCTGTTTATACATATCGCGAACGGACACAGACTACCACAAGGTTGCCTTTGTTGCTTGCAATAGCGCCAATTCTTTAAAGACCACAATCTCCCACAACTCCTGTTTGCACAAGCGCTGTTTATGTTTTCATTGCCATTGGTAATTAACTAGTTGCAGAGGTAAGTATAATAATGTTGGTAGATGGGTTATTAATTGAAATGTTTTAACAATATTTGATGGAAAGGTAGGTATTACGTGTCACATAATCACTTTATAAATGAGTGTCATAAAAACAGCTGAATAAAGATAATATTAAAGCTGATAATCAGGATAAAGATAATCTCACAGCTGATAGTGGCGACGATAAGTGTTGTACTGTGCATGGTACTATAGGGGCAATTTTTGTAAAAATTAAATTTAACGGGTGTTAAATTGCAAATTTCCATAGCAACGATTTAAAATCGTAAATCCGATTGGTTGTTTATTTTAACCACCTTTAAATTTTAACAGGTTTAATTCAAAATTGCCTCGATGACTATAACATGGGTGACTTTTTATCTGTTCAAACAAATTGGTGTATAAACAAATGCCAAGGAAGAGGAAAAAAGGTCAACTTATTTAGACAGAATTCCCTCACCGCCAACCACAATCAATTATAAATGCATGGTAGATTGTATACCTATCCTATCACACAGATTTACATTAGAATTTTTCTTAAGGATAAACCAATTAATTTTAATATGTGCAATGTATCATAACCTTACTCATTTCTAGGAATTTCAAGGAAATTAATAAATGGATTATTTTCGAAATAAAAGTATATTGAATTTTTCCGACGATGCCTACTATAAAAAATTGGTCTAAAGAGTTTAGACAGTACTTCCCTCGCTGTCGGAAACGTGACGACTGCATGCCTATTATGTTTTTTTTTCGCAGTGGATTTCAAAGAATTCGGTTTTATAGTTCCTGAGTAAATCAATAAAATTAATTTACGCATTCATTAATTTTTTTGAGTCACCCTGTATATGCAAATCCTAAAAATATGAATGGAGTGATAAATTACAAGTACAGACTCATCATATTTTGTACAGTTTAGATAGGATTTATTCGGCAAACTTTTGAGCTGACGTCATCAATTTTTTGGAGGGGATAAGCAAATGTATTTTGACTAAACACTTATTATGCTCTTTATAACCTTAAAACATCTTCAAGATTTCAAAGCATTCGGTTTTGTAGTTCCTGAGTAAATCAGTAAAATAAATTTACGCTGTCATTAATTTTTTTGAATCACCCTGTATATGCAAATCCAAAAAATATGGATGGAGTGATAGATCACAAGTACAGACTGATCATATTTTGTACATTTTAGATGTGATTTATTCGGCAAACTTTCGAGCTGACGTCATCAAGTTTTAGGAGGGGATAAGCAAATATATTTTGACTAAACATTTATGATGCTCTTTATAGCCTTAAAACATCTGCAACATTTCAAAGCATTCTGGTTAGCAGATTAAAAATTAAATTTCAAAATGTTGTTTTATAATTTTGATTTTTTTTCCAAAAATCTGGACGTTTCGGGTGAAAAGTCGATTCAGAGTTGTAAACTACATGTGTAGGACTATGTTATTTTATACAATTGAAAACCCATTTACTATGTACAATTTTGAAGTGACGTCATCGCATTAGTGGTGGGGATGATTAGACAAATTTTGGTTAGCGTTTTACCATCTACATGATATTCTTAATATAAGTACAAAATTTCACAACAATCGGTCGAGTACTTTCGGAGATTATCTGTCTAATAAAAATCCGGGACAACAGACGGACAGACGGACAGACGGACGGACAGACGGACAGACGGACAGACAGACGGAAATGGGAGACCTATTTCTTCGTCTTCTAGGGGTCATGAAAGATCGAGAAAACGTAAAAGTAGAGAGTCGGCCGACGGACTCGATTACAATACTTCCTTTGCTTACGCTCGGGAAGTAAAATGGGTTTAAGGTTACTTAGACAAAACATTTCTCGGCCCTGAAGTACATACAAGCGAACACATATAGCTCCTTCAAAAAATAAAATTTACTTTCGCGAATTTTATTTTTTATAACCCCTACTAGAAGTTAAAGTATAGATACACTCGCGGCCAGAAAATCGGACGTCAATGTTATTCCATTGTCACAGTGTGACCACGGGTGTGTCACACCGTGTGACACACCTTTACGTATACACATTGTTTATTGTAATCTTATTTTTTAGTTTTATAATGTTTGAGACTGCAAACATGCTGCAGACATTGTTATTCTTATTGTCATGTTATTTTATAAAATTTAGATGACATTTATTCGGCAAAATTATAAAATTACGTCATCATTATTTGTTAGGGAGGAGCATAAGCGGATAAATTTTGATTAACAGTTTACCACGTTTCTGATTATCGTAAAACAATTGTAGGATTCCAGAGTATTTAGTTATGCAATGTCAGAATTAATTTGTAAAATGTAACTATCCATTTTTTTTTCAAAAGACCTGGATTTCTAGTGTAAAAACCTGTGATAAAAACTGAACACGCATTCATAAGCAACAAATGCAGAAGTACATGAGTATATTTTTAAACTGTAAGATGACGTCATTAATTTGGGGTTTGGCGTAACCGAAAAATTTTCATTAAAGATTATCACACTTCCAATAACCCTAAAACATATGCGAGATTTTAAAGCATTCGGTTTTGCAATTGAAAAATTAAACTGTAAAATATTTTATACAATTTTGATTTTTTAAATCTGAATGTTTAGAGTCAAAACTTAACACGGATTCATAAACCACAAGTGTAGGAGCGTGCTTTTTGTCAAACTTAAGTAACATTTATTCACCAAAATTTTGTAATTATGTTTTTCTGTGGTGTGATTTGAATGTCTAGGGTAAAAACTTAACACGGATTCATAATCCACAAGTGTTAAATTTAAATAATACTCATCTCCCCCCAAAAATTATCGCACCACTCTCAAAATTTTGTATATTTCCAATTTGAAAATTTGTAGAAGACACATGGGCCCAAATCATATCCAAACATATTTTTATTTATTTATTTGCCAGAACAAGAACCAATATGTTGATTAAAACGATGGTTTCTAGTTCTTCGGATAAATTTGCACATATACGAATTTCGTCCTTTTCATTTACAAAGGATTTATGTAGACTTCTATCGCTACTGTCATACATATTCGACATTATGGATGTCCCTCAACGCTTAATCTTGGATTTGACCCACGACGAAGTTGTACGAGCATTGACTCTGTTGGAAGATGGTCATAGTCAGCGATACGTAGCAAGAGTTTTAGGAGTTGATCATTTCACAATAGTTAGACTTCCATAACGGTTCCATGAAACAGGGAGTGTTGCCAGAAGACCAGGACAAAGTCGTCGAAGGGTGACTTCGTAATGAGATGATCGCTTTTTGCGCTTAACAGCGCTCCGTACGAGGCATTGCACTGCTCGATTACTTCAAATGGAGTTGCTTGGTGCTCGAGATCTGGATATTTCTGTACAGACAGTAACAAATCGTCTTCGCGAAGATAATCTTCGAGCTCGTGTTCCTGCAAAAGGACCATTACTCACCAGACCTCATCGAGTAGCCCAGCTAGAATTCGCAAGGAAGCACGTGAATTGGGAAATTGATGATTGGGAAAATGTGATGTTCTCTGATGAGTCTAGATTCTGTTTTTGCTCAAATGACAGACGAATACCGGTGAATATAAGGCCTGGGAAGCGGTATTTTCAATGTAACTTCGTCCCAAATGTATAGTTCGGTGGAGGTTCGATTATGGTTTGGGATGGCATATCTTTGCAAGGTCGTACAGACTTAGTATCATTACCTGGGGCTCGTTTGATGGTTGTACGTTACATAACAGACATTTTGGAACCACATGTCATTCCATACGGACCATTCATTGGTCCAAATTTTGTTTAAAAGCATGATAACGCTCGGACGCACATAGTGCGCGTTGTGCAAGCTTATTTCAGAGAAACAGATACGCCTGTTATGGAATGGCCAGTTCGAAGCCCTAATATGAATCCCATCGAGCATGTATGGGATGATCTGCAATGTCGTGTTGTGGGCCGTAGAATTGCTTTTAGAATTCTCCAACAGCTAGAAGCAGTTCTTATGGAAGAATGGGAAAATATTCCTCAAGACAATATTGTGCACTTTTACGAAGGTATGCAGCGCCGGATGGAAGCCGTTATTCAAGCCAGGGGTGGAAATACACGATATTAATTTAATTAACGCTAATAAACTTATGTACCTACATTAAGACAGTCTCCAAATCAGGCCCAGAATATGTATATTTTTTAAATATTGTCATTTTTACTTCCCGAGCGTAAGCAAAGGAAGTATTGTAATCGAGTCCGTCGGCAGACTCTCTACTTTTACGTTTTCTCGATCTTTCATGACCCCTAGAAGACGAAGAAATAGGTCTCCCATTTCCGTCTGTCTGTCCGTCCGTCTGTCCGTCCGTCTGTCCGTCTGTCCGTCTGTTGTCCCGGATTTTTATTAGACAGATAATCTCCGAAAGTACTCGACCGATTGTTGTGAAATTTTGTACTTATATTAAGAATATCATGTAGATGGTAAAACGCTAACCAAAATTTGTCTAATCATCCCCACCACTAATGCGATGACGTCACTTCAAAATTGTACATAGTAAATGGGTTTTCAATTCTATAAAATAACATAGTCCTACACATGTAGTTTACAACTCTGAATCGACTTTTCACCCGAAACGTCCAGATTTTTGGAAAAAAAATCAAAATTATAAAACAACATTTTGAAATTTAATTTTTAATCTGCTAACCAGAATGCTTTGAAATGTTGCAGATGTTTTAAGGCTATAAAGAGCATCATAAATCTTTAGTCAAAAAATATTTGCTTATCCCCTCCAAAAACTTGATGACGTCAGCTCAAAAGTTTGTGGAATAA